TTGTAGGTGGGGGGCTCATACAGATGTGTGCCAAATTCCACTATCCTAGGAACGAGCATGGCTAGGGGCTGAATTAATTCCTGGCATTATTTGTCCACTTGGCCAACTATTAGGCGAGAACGCAAACTTTTGAACTTTTGAATGCTAACTTTTTTCATGATTTGGTGAGATCTACCTACCTGCCAAATCTGAAATCTCTGCGCCTTACGGTTTTCCCCAACTCACATTAGGGGACGCTGTAGAGGCATTTGGCCACGCCCATTTTGAATTATCATATGTAAATTTCACTAGGGGGACAATTTACTGCCAAGTTTGGTGAGTTTTTGGGCATGTTAAAGCCTCCAAAAAGCCGTTTCTTTTAAGCGGAGAAAAATAAGAAGAAAAAGAAGAAGAATAAATGGTACAGGAACAATAGGCCTTCGCAGCGCTGTCGCTGCTCGGGCCTAATAAAATGGAAAGAGCCCAGTGGTGTTAGAGGGAGGTGAGTTAATGGCATGCTCAACCCAAGGGAGTTTACTGGTCCACTTAGTGGGATCAGCCTCACAGAGGATGCAGAGCTTTGTCTCAGACCCCTGGTTGGTCCTCTCTGTCTGACCATCTGTTTGTGGCTGAAAACCAGACGAGAGACTGACAGAGACACCTAACAAAGAGCAGAACTCACTCCAAAACCAGGAGACAAACTAGGGACCTCTGTCAGAGACAATGTCAGTGGGGAGACCATGGAGCTGAAAAAACCTGACGGAAGATGACCTCCCCAATCTCCTTTGCAGAGGGGGGTTAAGGCAGAGGGACCAATGTACCATGTTGGAAAACCTGTCAATGACATTGAGAATTAAAGTGTTACCATCTAAGCAGGGCAGCCCGGTAAGAAAATCCATGACGATGTGGGACTATGGCCGGGATGGGATAGGCAGGGACCGGAGAAAACCAAAAGGGGGTCTTTTGGACGTTTTAGATTGGTTGCAATGCGGACAGGCTTCCACGAGACAGAGAAGGCCACCAAAACTGAGATCTGACAATGCCAATGGTCTTAGAAACACCAGGATGACAGAACAGAGGAGAACCATGCCAGAACTCCAGGACCGTCCCTCTCAGAGCATTAGGAACAAACAGGCGAAGGACAATCACTGGGAGAAGGTTGGCTGAGGAGGGCCTGTCTGACCTCCTTCTCGATGTGAACCATGGTAACAGCACCCCTTACAGATTCAGGAAAAATCTATTCCTCATCACCACCGGAACTCTCCTCGTCCACCTCAAACATCAAGGACAAAGGCTTGACTATCTTGCACCCAGCTCCGTAAGACAGATAGTCTCCCTGTCTAGACTGAGTCTCTTGGCCGACTTCAGGTACTCCAGTTTTTTTTTTTAGATCTGTCCAGACAAGAAACCAAATGCAGGAGCCATCCAGCCAGTGTCTCCACTCCTCCAAAGCTGGTTTAACTGCTAGTAACTCTCGATCCCCAATATCGTAGCTCTGCTCGGCTGCTGACAGTTTCATGGAGAAGAAGGCACAATGGTGGATCCTCCCATCCTTGCCCTCCTGACTAAGCATCGCCCCAACCCCAGTACTGGAAGCATCCACCTCAAATATAAACCTCCTCTTGGGGTCGGCAGACAACAGAACTGGAGCTGAGGTGAAAGCGGTTCTGAGTCTCTGAAAATCTTGATCCACCATATCGGACCAGCAAAACCTAATCTTGGATGACGTGAGGGCATGAAGGGGTGCTGCCACCTGACTGTACTTCCTAATGAAGTGGTGGTTAAAGTAGTCAGAACCCAAGAACCTCTGGAGCTTCTTCCTATCCCTGGGAACCAGCCAATCAGTGACAGCGCGCACCTTCAAGGGGTCCATGAAGATCTGGTCAGGGGAGACCACAAAACCCAGAAAAGAGATACTAAGAGGTACAAACGTGCCACTCACACTTCTCAGCCTTAATATTAATAGATAGATATCTAACTAAATAATCAAAGGAAAAGACAAATCAAGTTAAAAGGACTTAATAACAGCTCCAGATACGATTCAGCAACAACTGCTAGACTCATAGGGCTAGAACCAAACAACCACACAGGTTGGAAACATGGAGGTAAACAGAGGGAAAAGGAAAACTTTAGATTCAGATATATTTATCATAGCATTTATTACAGATTTTTTAATAAACACTCATTTGCAGTTTATTTTTATAGAACAATGGCCAAGACTAGTTCTACAGGGACAGTCAGACTCATAGCAGGTACCTTTTTACACTGTGAGACTGGTGGCTTCGTGCTACGCTCATCACATCATCACATTATGCAGCTTACAGTAAATAGGACTGAGGTGTCAACCCTTATTTAGATTTTAGTCTAATTAAGGTTTGCATGTCTGAAAATGTGCTAAATTCTTTTCAGACCAAAGAAGATCAGCAGATAGCTCGTCCAAATCTAGTTTTGCATGTCTCCTAGGCAGTATGCAGATCATATTCCAATCTGCACAAGTTAATTTGTGGTGGATATGCAATGATAAACAATCACACCTGGAAACCGATTTCTTAGTCCTGAAACTCGACTGCAGCCGTAATTGTGAATCTTTTTTTTTGTACTTGTACTGGTAGCTTCATCTGAGACCAGGGGCAGCAGTCTCAGCAGAGACTCCTAGACTTTTCTCTCCACAGACTCCTCCTCCAGCTCTACTGGGAGAGGCCTGAGGCGCTCCCAGGCCAGCTGAGAGACATGGTCCCTCCATCATGTCCTGGGTCTTGTCCCAGTTTGACGTGCCTGAACACCATTTTCCGTTTTCTCAGCTCTCTCTACACCATGACAGACCGGTGCAGTGTTAGCATTGTAGCAACAGCTTCACTGATCCATCTATTGATCTCCTGCTCCATTCTCCCCTCACTTCTGAAAAGGATCCAAAGATACCTGAGCTCGTTGACTTGAGTCAGGAACTCTCCTCTGACCTGAAGGGGACAAGCCACCTTTTTCTGGTTGAAAACCATGGCCTGGGATTTGGAGGAGCTGATTGTGTCCCCCATCCACCCCCCTGAACTGCCACATTATCCTGGTGGTGGGGTTTCAGTGCCAGAATGATCCCAAAGGCTATGTTGTCAGGGGCTTTAAAGCCTCTGGTAGGGTTTCCTAATTTAAATAGGCTCTAGATGATGGGTCACACAAAAAATGGTTCAAAATGCCTGTTTGGTGACAACAAAATCGAGGCATGTGACTTCACCCGGGACAGCGCGGCGGGACCCCAGCCTGGAAGGAGCGACGCGAGGCCATCCTCAGGTGAGTCTACCACCTGCAGGGGGAACCATGAGGGAATGGTGCAAAGAGGCCTGGGCGGCAGTCAGAGGCGGCGTCACTTTAAGCAGAACACTAATAACACTTTACTCTCATTGATGCATTCGTGAGAAAAATCTTTAGAAATGATTCGAAAGAATATTTATTCAGCGATTCTGAAGTTATTGTTCCTCTGTTGACAAGACTCTACTGCAAACACAGCAACATTTTTTGGGTTTAATAAATACTGTCACAGCTGTTGCTGTCATATTTGTGTGTTTTGTTTTTTGTGTTTTTTCCTCTTTCTCACCTCTACTAATTAGGCTGCATGTTCCTGTCGAGGGACCCGCCTACTTCCTGGTTTCTGGGGATCTGACCTCAGTCCCATCCTTTATTCCCTCGGTTCCACCTTCAACCAATGGCTCATCACCTCCTGCTGTCACCTCCTGTTCATAAGGAGAGCTCACCAGTTGATTGAGGCAGCTTGTCACAGCCAGTTGACTTTGGTGCCTCGTGTGAACCAGACTTCGTGTGCATTTAGCAGCTGCGTCTGTGTTTAGTGGAGTGGCTCATTTTAGTTGGTTAAATGGTTACCCATTTGGGTTTGTGTTTAGCAGCCTGTGCCAGTATCTGTTGTTGTCTTTGGCTTATGTGTATTTACCAGGTTAAGGCTAGAAAGATGGTGGAACTAGGGCTGATTCCCATACTGAGTTTTCCTGTTTCATTAGGTGTAGTGGGTGCTGTGCTCTCTGTGTTTTTTAGTAAGAATCTCATCTATTTAAATGTATAGTTAGGGACGATCCTCCTTTAAGGATTTATTTTATTTAACTTTTTATTTTCACAGCACCCTCATCCACCCTCCTTTTGTTTGTTTATTGCTTGCACCTCTTGTTACCAAATAAATTATCATTTTATAAGAACTTACCGGTTTCTGCCTATATATTTATGCCCCCTCTACTCTAGACCAACAGGGGGTCGTAACAATACACACATGACTTTCCATACTCACGGGGAAGGAGTGTTCCTCTGTATTTAGAGATTAGGATATTATTTACCTATCAATCCTCTAAATACAGCATTTTTTTAAATGACCAATTAGATGTTAGAACTGCTTTCTAAAGGACTTTATTTGTAAAATGCAGTTATAGAATTATCTGCACTATAAACAGGTTATCTTTTGTTTAGTGTTTATATTATATAAGCCTTGAACATTGTAAATGGTGGACTTTGGGATGGCTTTGTCACACGTAGTCATAACACTCCATAAATTCATGTAATGTTATTGAATGACATTTACAAATATTATTTCTGCGTTTTCTACTATAGTTTGTTCCATGATGGTATATCACTAAGCGTTCAATTGGACTGAGGTCTCAAGGATTTCAATCTCACTAAAATATGATTAAGTAAATGCCAAAAACTGTTGCATTATTTATTTTGGTGTGTTTTTCTCTCAGTCCGTCTAATTGCGCCTCTTCGCTGCGCCTCAAAGCTCCTTTTAGAGCCCAGTATTTATTCATAATGTTGTTTAGCTGATCTATTTCAAGTCGTGCTTTTAAAATCCAACAAAGTAATGTATAAATCTACTAACAACGTTAGATCAACCTTTAGTTGTTTTGTTTCGTTTCCTGATAATTTCTATGATGTTTTACAGCCCTTATGAGCACAGGGCGCCCTTCTGGACGGGGCTGGGTTTCTCTCTACTTAACCTTTGATAGTCCAACTTTCAGGCAGACATTTTCTGAGCGCTGCAGAAGCAACATCATCGCCTGCAGATTTCCACAGGAATGAGAAGATTCTGTCTATGTCCAACCTCAGGAATGAGAGACATGGGCAGGGTGGTCCTTCTCATTCTTGTGGGTCTCTGTCAAGCCATTTCTGCCTCTCCAGAAGGTGGGTTTTATAGATTCATACTCATCGTTTCTCTGTATTTAATTTTCCTTTTTCTTTTATTTCTAGAATAGAAAACGTCATATATTTAGATGTAGAAAATACAGACTGTTATTCATTAAATTTGTATAAGTTGAAAATCTTAAAATGTGCATGTTTTTTATTGTAATCCTTCCAGCACTTTGAATTGTTGTCCTAGTGTTTAATTATTAACCTCACCTTCCCCATAATGATGTGTTTTTTACTGTAACACTAGAAACAGAACTTTACAGCCTACTGAGCCGAATGAGGAACCTAATATAAGCTAAACATTAACAGCCTGATAAGGTTAAACTGACTGCAAATTTATGTGGATGAAGGGAGGAGATGTGCACTCATTCCCTCCCTCTCTCATTCTGTAACCCAGGAGACAACTGCCATCATATCCTGGCAGTGGTCCAGTCCGGCCGCTGGGATCGGTCAGAACCAGAACCCCTCTGTGCCTGCTCTTCTTTTTTTCAACCTCTTCCTCTTCAGCTGCTTAAAGTCAACATCGTCTGATCTCCTCTGATCTCCTCTGATCTCCTCTGATCTCTTCTCCTCTCCTGTAATGTCTGATCTCCTCTATTCTAATTCAAAGCTGATGCAGGGGAGCACAGCTCATGATTGGATTGTTTGGTTCTGATTTAGAAAGTGTGTTCAGATTATTAATCCAGAACAGGTTTTAATTCCATCAAAATACTTTGGTAACAAGACATTACAGTTTTTCTGATAATAATTCAGTGTGCTGGGGAATCTTCTCAGTCCTCCTGTAATGATGTATTGAAGAGATCTGACCCACATACAGAAAACCACTCAGAGAAAAAGGAGAAATGTTTACGGAACTGGAAATGAGAAGGGAAGTTCACAGAGGTTAGTTCGGTGTCCGTGGGAACTTTGAACGACGTCTTGCAAACACAGAGATAAACGGGACTCACGATTGCCGAAAGACAAAGACAAAAATCACGTGAGGCTCAGAGAAACAAAAACTCAGTTAGACTCAGCTGAATCCAGCTTAGCTAGAGTACCCCAAACTGGCAAACACTCTGGCGTCGAAGTAGTGGCAGTTCTCCGCTTTAGAAGTCCTCAGTAATGAGCCAACCAGTGTGAGGGAGGACCAACGAGAACAGGGCGTCATCTGGTGGTGGAGGGGGAAAAAAACACAAACCACATAGACTGGATTCCTAACACATCCAGGTTATAGTCATTCCAAAAAAGTAAAAAAAACAAGCCATTGGTCTTTGCTTCCAAGTTTGAAGATGATTCGCTTCCCATCCAGGAAGCCTTTTTAATTCAAAATGTCAGGAATTTCAAATTGCATGTTTTCTAAACAAAAACACGGTTGGGCTACTGTATAAAGCCTGGAAATCAACGCTATTTCTGACTATTTGAATTAAAAAAGCTTCCTGCATGGGAAGCGGAACGCCTTCGAACTTGGAAACAAAGTCCAGTGCATTGTTTTCCTACTGTTTTGGAATAATTTTATGATTTTCTGTTTGGTTTCAGTTAGTTATTGACTCTAAGTTCTCTGTCCTCCACAGTGTTTCTCATTGTTCTTCTACAGTAAAACATAATGTATATATCCAGGATGAGGAAGTCTGATTTCAACCTGAGTTTCCTCTTTGTTAAGCTGCTCTGTGTTGTGTCTCTCCTGTAGATCGGAGCATCTCCGCTGTGATTGGAGGAGATGTTACTCTGCCATGCAGGGCTGAGGGGTACATGCCCTTTAAAGTGGTGGAGTGGAGCCGACCTGGAGCAAACCTAGAATACGTTCTCATTCTAAGAAACAAAAACTTGGACCCAAAAATCCCCAAACCGGGCTACAAGGGCCGAGTTGAGCTGAAGGACCTACAGAATGGGGACGTTTCTCTGGTTCTGAGGAACGTGACGTCTGAAGACAGCGGAACATATGAGTGTTATGTTCTAAAAAGCACAGTCCGCAGGAAGAGAGCCATTAAACCAATCAGCACCATCACCCTGAATGTTCTTCCTCTGGGTGAGTCTCTGGATCAGAACCTCCCTGGTTCTTCCCCATCAGTATGCCAAGGGCAGCTGAGGCTACCTTGATGTTAGCTTAGCATAATTAGCATGTGAATGAATGAATGAGTGAATGAATGAATCTGGACCCCTTTAACTTGATAACATGTGATGCCAGGACAGGCCATTAATTATCCTGAAATCTCCCACTAACACCTTGATCTTATCTACAGGATCCAATCATGAAAGCCAAGATGATGGAGGAAACAAAGATGGTTCTGATGGTCTGACAGGTGATCTACATTAAATCTACTTTATTTTATCGTTGTCATAATTTCTGTAAAAGTCCCAGATCCTTCTGCTGATGGAGTATCTTTGGAATTTAGTGGTTCTAATGTCTGAACAGCAGAACTATGATGGTGAAGGAGATGTTTCTGCTCTTTGGTCACTATTGCAGAGAACTAGTGAACCACTTTGTGTCAGTGTGTGGAAACAATCATCTGATTCCAGATGTCAACAAAACAAATTAGATGATTGTAGATTTCAGAAGAAGCAGAAACAAGTTAAATCAAATTAACATCATGGGAGAAGAATTGGAGATGATCGAGGAGTAGAAGTACCTTGGTGTTCACCTGGACAACAAACTAGACTGGAGATGCAACTCTGAAGCCATCTACAAGAATGAACAGAAGAGATTGTACTTTCTAAAGAAGCTTAGGTCCTACGGCAGGAAGCTAAATATCTTCTATAAGTCTGTTGTGGAGAATCTGCATTAAAGCTAATGATATAAAAAGAAGGTCAACAAGCTGATAAAGAAGGTCTGCTCTGTTCTAGGAACTCCTTTATAATGTCTGAAGATGATTTCATGAAGAAAAACATTCATGAAATGAAGAACATTGTGGACATCAGTGAGCATCCTCTTCAGAAGATTGTTGAACAACAATGGAGTGTCTTCAGTCAGAGGTTTCTCCAGATCCAATGCAAGACAGACCTCTACAGAAGATCCTTCCTGCCTTCAGGCATGAGAGAAAAACAAATGCGTTACTGCAATATTTTAGCTGAATTGAATGTAATTAAAATGAATTTGATTCCTACAAGCAGAATGAGAAACCATCAGAAAACGGAAAAAACAAGAATTATAACATAAAAAGATGTTTTAAAAAGAAAACTATAATAAGCCAGTTTTCATCCTCAATTATTCAGCTTGACTTTATCCAAGAAGAGGAAGAACTCCTCACTACCGGAAGACATTAGAGGGAATTTAATCTTTGAATTTTACTGAAAACATTTACATTTAATCCAAGCCCAATATTATGTTGGTTTCAGACATTTTACTTCAGTGGTGTATTAAATGTATTCATCATATGTATATATATATATATATATATATATATATATATATATATATATATATATATATATATATATATATATCATATATATATATATATCATATTATCACCACTGTTGTTTACACTCAGCCTCAGGCAGAGCAGATGGTCTCATATCATGTCATTAAGGAAGTGGCGATAAGGGGTTCAGTCTGCTCATCCTGATGCTTGTGGGATCATATCAGGGGATTTCAACCATGTGCATCTCAGAGGCTTCTACAACGACATTTTACACCTAAACTAAGTCAAGGTTAAAGACGCCTACAATGTACCATATACTCCACTTGTTGGTCAATTTGAACACAGCTGCATTTATCTCAGACCCTTTGAAAAACCAAGTCCGATGAGACTGGCATCAAAGTGATGGCCATAGGCATATAGGGTAGCAGCAAGGCTTTTGTGTGTCCTGGATGGGAAGCAAAATGTCTTCAAACTTAAAAAACAAAGTCCAGAGGTTTTTTTTTTTTTTTACTTTTTTTAAATGAAAGTTTTGAAGGTTCTCAATAAGCCCATAAACCCACAGGAACCAGACAATCAAAAACAGCAGTACACTATTAGTGAGTTCATTAACTTCTGTAAAGATGTGATGTTATCTTAGACAAGTGCTCGTCATGTTTTGAAGAACAAGCCATTGATAATGACCAATATCCAAAGCTTAATGAACTTGACATTCAAGGAAGGATATCCTGACATCTTAAAGCTGTACAGCGAAGGACATAACTTCCCTTTCACCTCAGATAAGATGTTGACATTTCTTTATATGCTGATGATGAGACTGTGTAGAAAGCAGATGGTTTCAGCTCAGTAGATGATGTTCTATTTGATGGATCAGGCTAACATCTGGTTCTGTTCTACAGGTGGACTACTCATTGGACTGAGCGTTGGGCTGGTGTCCATCGCAGCTGTGATTGTGTCTGTCAGTGCCGTGTTGCTCCTGAAAAAGAAGAAGAAAAGGGTACCTCCATCATCCCCCATTTATATTCAAGTTGACAGCCTTCAGGAGCTTTCACCAACAGGTGTAGATAAGAGCGGTAACACTCCACTCCTTTCACATCATTGTAAACCAGCCATTGGGGAGACAGGATGTTGCTCTAATGCCGGTCCCAAGCCCGAACAAATGGGGAGGGTTTAGTCAGGAAGAAAATACTTTTAACATCTTTTAACAGAAGACAAAATCCGTTTTTTTTCTAATAGAAAAAGAAACTTCATGAAAAAACTTCCAGACTAAAATCCTCCCACTGCAGTAAAGAAAAACTGAGCATCAGCTCTCATCCATTCACCCTCTAAAGCTTTGCTGCTGGAAACCTGTACACACTTCCGCCACAGCTAATCATCGTGTCACACCTTGCCAATTTAGCCAGCATATGCCTGACATCCCAGTATCTCCTAAAACACAGGCATACGCTGAACTTTCTATGTATTTTTTCAATGGGCGTATACATAGAGTATTCATAACGAGTCCAGAACTTATGTCCAACGACAGCCTAACTTAAGAATGACACTAGCTAGACCCAGCCATACGAAAATTCTCGTCAGCCTCCAGTCCCCCGAAACAGTACTTCACAACTCATCAATTCCTTTTCAGATGTAAATGCCCCATTAGCGCTGTGGCTGGAGAAGAGAGACAGTGAGCTACAACCCTAGTTTCCTCAAAACGAGTCTCCTATTGTGCTGGGAGAATTACATTGGACCCTATGCAGAGATTGCACCGCCGCAACACTTAGGGACCGTCTGCAAGTTGAAAAATAATCAGACAGAAACATTCCAAAGCCTCACCGAGGAGAGGTGGATTCTCAAATTCATTTCATGTGCATCTCATCTCATGTCTTTCATATCACATTCATTGGATTCAAAAATCATACTTTTTTGAGGAATTTCCAAAAGCCTAAGTGACTAATAGTACCTCTAGTCTAACATTAGAATAAATATAAAATGAGCAATGACTACACTATAGATGATTGTAGTGCCTCCAAACTTGTAGGATAAACAGATAATCTCATCTAGTTCAGACTACAACTCTTACTTTGGGAAGATAGGCCAGACTGTATTTTTGGAGATTTTTTCATTGTTATTATAAGCATATAATAGCCAATAATTACACTTTAGATCATTGAAGTGCCACAAAACTTGTGGCAAACATAGATAACCTCATCTAGTTCAGACTACAATTCTTACTTTGGGAAAGTGCGCTAAACTCTCTCTATTTTTTTTTTATTCATTTTTAGTATGAGCATATAATAGCCAACAATTAAACTATAGATGATTCTACTGCCACCAAACTTGTAGGATACATAGATAACATTCTCTGGATCATACTACAACTCTTACTTTGGGAATATGTGCCAAACTCTATTTTTTTATTTTTTTTTATTGTTATTATATGCAGACCAGGTGCGCAATCTCTGCAAAAGGAAGCAAAGCACTGAGTGTTGTGTGCACTGCACAAAGTATACCTGTCACAAATGCAGGAAGGACTCACCTTGGGTTTGTAAAAACTGCTAAATAGGACAATTGTAGCTTCATATGTAGCGTTTTTCCTTGGGGGAAATAAATGTTACTGCTGTACTGAAATCATAATGTTTGTAATTCTCTAAGCTGAAATGTTGAATGACAAGAAAACGCAAGACAATATTAAAAAGACTTTTGTTTTTAAAATACAATTATTCACTGAGTTGTTCTTTCTTTCACATAGTGAGCTTTGCAATATAAATGAGTCTGTTGGTGAATGGACAATATAAATAGGCTCTCCGTGGCCTTGTTGGAAAAGCCACAGGTTATGACCTGTTCTCAGCTCAGGAACTAGGACCCGTATGATATCTGGTTGTTCAATATGTTTGCCTAAATAAAAGACTTAAATATGACTGATCAAGTTATTCCTGCAAAAAGGTCTGATGTTGCAGGGGAAGGTAAGGAAAAGTGTTCAGAGCATGCTCTGGTTCTGATGCCAGTTTGTTTTAGCCTTTATCCAGGCCCCGTCCACACGAAGCCGAACCCTGGCCTAAACGCACAAATTTTTCACCAAACCAGCCTCTCATCCACACGAAGCCGGCGTTTCGGGGGTCTGTAAACGATCTTTTTTTTTATTCAGCCTTCAGAGTGGGAAGATTCTGAAACGCCGTTTTCGCGTTTCCATCTTTAAGCCTTACCCGAATTTTTTTTTTACACGCATGCATCAT